AATATGAGTCAGCAGTGTGATGCTGTTGCAAAGAAAACAAACATGATTCTGGGATGTATTAACAAGTGCATTATGAGCAAGACGTGAGAAGTCATTTTTCCGCTCTACTCTGTGCTGGTTAGGCCTCAGTTGGAGTATTGTGTGCAGTTCTGGGCACCGCATTTCAAGAAAGATGTGGAGAAATTGGAGAGGGTCCAGAGAAGAGCAACAAGAATGATTAAAGGTCTAGAGAACATGACCTATGAAGGAAGGCTGAAAGAATTGGGTTTGCTTAGTTAAGAAAAGAGAAGATTGATAGGGGACATGATATCTGTTTTCAGGTATCTAAAAGGGCATCCTAAGGAGGAGGGAGAAAACTTGTTCATCTTGGCCTCTGAGGATAGAACAAGAAGCAATGGGCTTAAACTGCAGCAAGGGAGGTTTAGGCTGGACATTAGGAAAAAGTTCCTAACTGTCAGGGTAGTCAAACACTGGAATAAATTGCCCAGGGAGGTTGTGGAATCCCCATCTCTGGAGATATTTAAGAGTAGGTTAGATAACTGTCTATCAGTGATGGTCTAGACAGTATTTAGTCCTGCCATAAGGGCAGGGGACTGGACTTGATGACCTCTCGAGGTCCCTTCCAGTCCTAGAATTCTATGATATGTATGTGGAATGGGAAATTAGAAACCAAGGGAGAACACGTGACATGCTATATGTAGAATTTGGGTGGTAGTAGTTTGGGTCCTACAGGGCAGGCAGCTGAGAGTGTGGGGTGTGTGTGTGCAGAAGTTGGGCTTGGTAGGTGTAGTGGACTCAGGGGAGGAGGTAGGGGCAGTTGCCAGGTTCCCCAAGTGGGTTTGCTATTGAAGGAATAGAATCTGGACATTGTATGTGAAGCAAGCAGAAGTTTATTACACACAGTGCTGGGTGAAGTGCCACATCATTTGCTTAAGCTCAGTGAACGCTGCCACACAATAGGTTACAACTAGTTATATAGGATGCTCAATAGGCAGATGAAAGTGATAGGGGTGGGAGGGAAGATCCCGGACCCCCTGGATAGCTGCTAATAGTAAGACAAGATAAGAGCAATATAAAGTTACATAGTGTTTTCCAGTTTAAACAAAGCAGACTTCAGTTATCAATTATCAGTTAAGTGGTGATATGTCTGTCAGCTTCAAGAAGGTATCTCTGCAGGATGTGGTCCATCTGGGAATTAAAGCAGAGACATTAGGAGTACTTAACAATGGCACAGTTGTGCCTAGCAGCATTGAATGTATCATGTACTGTCTTCTACCCCGGGCTAGGTGTGTGTGCAGGGGGGCGGGGAGGAAGCCATTAAGTACTGTGTCTGGGTGCTAATCCCAAACTCCAATTTAGAATAAATGTTCTTAACAAAATATAGCCTGCCTTAGAAATTTTCATCCTACAGCTACCCCCCTCTGATCATTCTGTGGCACAACTGTCTCCATACTTTCTGCTCCAACTCGTGATCATTTGGGAGTTTAACTGTCCCTGCTATCACAGCTCTCCCTTTCCATTTGAGGAGAAATAATTGCATTCCATGCACATCCCATTGTTCTTGCTGTAAGTTATAATAAGGGGAAGCTGCATACCAAATTTGGTGGTCCTAGTTCTTTACCATTTAGGAGGAGTTAGAATCCTAGGGCTGGAAGAGACCTCAGGAGGTCATCGAGTCCAACCCCCTTCCCAAGGCAGGACCAACCCTAACTAAATCATCACAGCCAGGGCTTTTGTCAAGCTGGGACTTAAAAACCTCTGGGGATGGAGATTCCACTACCTCCCTAGGGAACCCATCCCAGTGCTTCACCATCCTCCTAGGGAAATAGTTTTTCCTAATATCCAACCTAGACCACCTCCACTGTAACTTAAGTCCATTGCTCCTTGTTCTGCCATCCGCCACTACTGAGAACAGCCTCTCTCCATCCTCTTTGGAACCTCCCTTCAGGAAGTTGAAGGCTGCTAAGGTCATTGAGTCCAATCCCTTGCCTTCACAGCAGGACCAAATACCATCTCTCACAAATTTTTGCCCCAAATGGACTCCACAAGGATTGAATTTACAACCCTGGATTTAGCAGGCTAATGCTCAAACCACTGAGCTATCCCTCCCCCCAAGTTGAAGGCAGCTATCAAATCCCCCCCTCACTCTTCTCTTCTGCAGATTAAATAAACTTAAATCCCTCAGCGTCTCCTCATAGGTCATATGCTCCAGCCCCCTAATCATTTTGGTTGCCCTCTGCTGGACCCTCTCCAATGTGTCCACATCCTTTCTACAGTGGGGGCCCCAGAACTAGACATCCAAGTTCTTGAACAGACTGGGATGGATGGACACACAGACAGACACTCCATTTCTCTCACAAATATATAGTAGATTATGCAAAATATTGAGTGGAAGAGAGGGGGGAGAATCTAATCTCAGACCCTGTGCAAGGGAATATAGATAGTACTATGAACTTTTGTGGGCACAACCCACTTCTATTTCTGCTTTATATTTGTCCTTCTCTGCCTCTTGCTCCATTCATCTGAAGAAGAGGGTTGTGCCCACAACAGCTCATGATACCAGCTATATTTTTTGCTAGTCTCTAAGGTGCTATAGGACCACTCATTTTTTTTAAGTTACAGACTAACACGGCTACCCCCTGAGACCTGTGCAAGGGGCAAGACAGTCCTGCAGTCCCACAGCCATGACACCAACTTCTCCCCAAATTCCACATACAGGATTGCGGGGAGCAGAAAGTGCAGCACAGATTAGTTACCCTATAGCCGTGGTCCCCAACACGGTGCCCGCGGGGGCATTTCTCAGCGCCCGCCAAGTGCTCAGGGCTGGCCTGGCCCCGGGCACGTGGCGCATGCGCGGTGCCGGAGGCGGACCCGGGCGCGTGGCACACTGTGAGCGCCGGCCCCGGGGGTGCCGCAGATTCACCC